TCACTAGTATATATATAATTTCAGTGTAACTCTTTGGCAAATGGGTTTTTGAAGACGAGAAACATAATATTAAAGTCTGATAAAAAAAACAGGAAGGACAGAATGTATAATATTGCTGGGCTTAGCATAAATTTAAGAATAAGAAGTCAGGAAAAATGCAGTGTGTTTTCATATGGAACAAAGAATAAAATAGCAATCAGTACACAAGTTGCCTACGATACAAATAATCATTAAAAGATGACAGAATTATAGGCAATATTTAATTAAATGATCAGTTAGCCAAAATAAGTGTCACTTCTCATGATAAAGCTTTCTATTCTACATCTTTCCTCCACTGAGTTTCAGAGATATGACACCTTCCATCAGGGCTATTTTGCTTCTTACTAAGAGTTTGAATACCAGTTAAATGGCCCCTGTTAAACAAAAGAAAACAGCTGGTTTTGCCAGAGAGATAGGTATTCCCTGTCCCAAGCAGATTCTGTGCCCAATGACGTCTTCATGGATAAAAATTACCTGCTTTCATTTCTCAAAGTCATTTCTAAAGACCTAACGACGAAGAAAGACAAAACGGATGCTGTAAGAACAGATGCAAATCACACCGTGTACTTCTCATTCTTCTCCAACATACTCAGAGTAGTAAAATATACCTAAAACATTACAAGTACTAACAGCAGCCCAATCTTAAAAAGGGGAGGAGAGCAGGCAGAAAACCCAAAAGGGTGATGTATGCAGAAGATGGGGATGTGTGGAAAGAGGCAGCGGGCGCTCCTTGGGAATCAGCCCAGGCTCAGGCTGTCATTACGAATAATCACAGGACAGCCTGGACGACCTTAAACAACCTGCCCATTCCCTTTCTTGGGCCCTCTCACCATCGCTCTCTGCTTTGGCCTCACAACTTAGAGACCATCCTTAATCTGCTATAACGTGAGAAAGCTCTGGCTTTCTACCCGAGAGCAAAAGAGAGGATGTTCTAACTAAGGAGCCATTTCTTCTCCCCTCTCCTTCCCACCATAATCATTGCCGTACCGACCAGGCATCACCAGCGCTCCTCTTGGATTTCTTGATTGTGAAGGAATTTTGGATTACAAAACAAATATGATAGAGGTAAATTAATAAATATAACTGCATTTGGCGCAGATTCGCTTAGCTTTATGCTATCAAACCTCCCTTAAGTATCTGTTACCTCTTTTTCCTTATGGAACCTGCTAGGCTATGGATGGTCTGCCTTTCAGCAGGCTGGTTCATATCTTTACTTTCTACCATTTCATCCCAAAACAGACAAGATATTTCATCATACCTATTTCCCCCCTCTGGATAACAGGTGCACTTTCTGCTTTGTTTATCTACATTATAGTTTCTGTTTACATTCAAGGAGGATCTGCAGTGATTTTTTTTTCTCTGCTTGAATCCCAGGCACCTCATCAAACATTGCTTTCCCAGGGAAACCTGCTGTATCAGTTGACCCCGAATCCCGTTGACCAAGTCCCTCATAATCTGTTTTCTCCCTTTGGTTAGCTGCAGCCCTTCTGAGTGCATGAATCTCCACTCTCTACCCCTCCACCATCTGCTACCTGAACTTGCCAGTCTTCTATCTGCTTAATGTCTTACCATGTGCATGGCAGAACCCCCAAATTGGTGGGCTTGACTTCCTGGCACATTGCTGTGTTTTTCCACTTTTCTATTCAGGACCACTAATTGCTGAGATGTGGATGCATACCAAATAAAAGCAATTCACTGTGTTCTAAATAAATAAAAAGTCTTACTGAGCTTTGGGTCCATACCATACGCGTAGGCTCTTAATTTTAATGATTACAAGTATGCTGGCCTGGCTTACTCTATGACATAGTGAGCCTAGAATACAAAAAAAAGTAGTAAATAAATACTAATTTTAAAAAATCTCTTAGAGAACGGCAGGAAAGATTATATATGATAGATTCATTTAGCTATTTCAGTTTATTTGATTTTATGTACTTGCATGTTAAAAGGTTCATTTTAATTACATAGACTCAATGCTTGTCTTCTTTGGCCATAACAAATAGTTGAGTTTCATTTACTTTCCTTTTGAGAAACACTTTCTAAATCCTAATTGGCAGACGTTTAAATGAGGAAAAAAGGCATTTGAGAAGCTGCTCAGTCTGAGTGCACGTGGGGGTATATGTGAGTTTTGATTTCTCCAGGGCCTACTGCATGATCAGTGCAAAGGGAATGATGTTTATAAAACAGGGCTGGGCACTCAACTTGACTTTGACAAACATAGAAATTGGCTGCTGTGCACACGGCATTTTATAAAAAATTGATCTTCCAGTTCTACTGACATATCACTACAGCAAGAAAGTTCCCAAGCCTTTTTGTCTCATCTTGCAAACTCCTTTAGTTTTCACCATTTCCTCACTACAATAATCAGATTATGGTTTCGCTCTCCCAGGGGACTACAGAAAGGTGCCATGTTTCATATGGACACAGCCTTCCAGTTCTCAGGTTAAGACTACTTTTTACAATAAATTAATATTGCCATTGTAATGATAATATTACAACCTGTGGGCTTTTTAGGTCTGATAAATTCGCTCAACTACTGATCACCCATAAACACTGACAAGCATGAGTAACTGGGCCTTCGACCCAGAGGACCAAAGCCTGGCCTGGGTCACCGAAGGCAGCGCTGGTCAGCATAGCCTGTCATTGCTCTCCCCAGCCTTTCCTGGGCCGGTTCCTCAGAACTCCCATCTGCACGCTAACACACCAAAGTGTCCCACACAAACAACGGTGCTGTCCCAGATCCCGCTTCAAGATACAATGTCTCCCCCAACTACTCCTAAGACCCTTGGAGTCAGGATTGCAATACCTGAGCTGCTCTGAGCCCTGCTTCTAAGGACTAGACTCTCAGAGCCCCAGAGTGAGCAGGGGTAGTTGGGACCATATGCTGAACTGGGAACTTCTGCAGTAACAAGAGCAGAGGCCTCCTTCTTGCCACCCCACCGGGAGGAATGAACTCCTAGAACAGTGATGGTGAAACTTTTGAGCTCGGGTGTCAGCATTTTGAAAAACTCTAACTTAACTCTGGTGCCGTGTCACATATAGAAATGTTTTGATATTTGCAACCATAGTAAAACAAAGACTTATATTTTTGATATTTATTTTATATATTTAAGTGCCATTTAACAAAGAAAAATCAACCAAAAAAATGAGTTCGCATGTCACCTCTGACACACGTGTCATAGGTTCGCATCACTGTCCTAGAAGAACCATGCATGAGTGAGGTAGGGAAAATGTATTCATTCAGCTAATATTTACTAAGTGCCTGCTTTGTGCTAGTGAGACACAATAGAACAGCCCCTGGTTATATTCTAATGTTGGCATGGCAGGTGGGGAGTCAAAAAAGAAATACATTAAAAAATTAGAAAATATTATGTGTTAAATACCATGAAGGTAATCAAATGGGGAAATGGCAGGAAGGAAATAAGACCACCATGGATAAGGCGGCCGGAAAATAACTTCTCGAATGGAGAGACCTTTCAGGCCCAAACTGAGCTATGACGACCTGGGGCCTGCATATGTGACAGAAAGCCAGATGGCCGGTGTGGCCAGGGGGCAGCAAGCTTGGTGGAGGGTGGTGTGCAATATAGGCAGGAACGAAATGACATAGATCCCTCAGAGAAAAAAGCGAGGCGTTCGGATTTATTTTCATTTCAAATCTATTAGAAGGTGACGCAAAGTAGCCACAGTCCAATCTCCATGTTTAAAACCATTCATTCTGGCTGCTATGTTGGCATGAATTGTAAAGGGTTAAATGTGGAAAAGAAGCTATCTCCATGGCTCAGGCAATAGATGATGGCTTGGTTTACTGTGGGAAATAGAGGCTGAGGAAAGAGAACCAAATAGGACATAATTTGGTTTGGGCAGAGACAAGACCAGCTGAGAAATGAGGTGAGGGGACTGAGGATTGGGTGGCTGTTTCCATTTTGATATAGGTAATCGGATGGTTTGCAGCTCCATGGAATTAGAGGTGATAGACTGTATGGGAGGAGCAGATTTGAGGGGAGCAGGGGAAGCTAGGGAAATGAAAGTTCCTTTTTGGTTAATTTGAGTCTTGATTGGCTCTTAATCATCCAGAGTCAGGGATTTTCAGATCAGACCACTGAAAATATGAGCCTGATTTTCAAGATAGACATCAGGACTGTCCATGTGAATTAGAATATCATCAGCATGTAGATAGTAGTTTTAAGCCAGGTCATTGGATAAGATCACACACAAAGAAAGGTTAATATGGAGAAGATAAGAGGACTCAAGTTTGAGACCTAAATTAGCCCAAGATTTAGAAAACAGTTAAGGGGAAGGGAGTCAGAGAAGATAGAGAAACAGCCAATGAGGTAAAAGCAACACGAAGGGAATTTTCTGATACTGAAGCCAACAAAACGTGTTTCAAGGAGAGAGAATTCAACTAAACAAATACAAATGAGAGATTGAGTAAGATTATCATGTTGAAATGGTCATTGGATTTCACAAGTTGAAGGTTAATGGGACCTTGGAAAGTTTATTTTTAAGTGATTATACCTGATGAAAGGAATGGGCTATACCACTTTTCTATTTAAATTTTGTAACCAATCCAATGCTTAATTTTTAAGTGTGTTAGCTAGCCTATAAAATTTAGCATATAAATATTTATGATTAAATAAATGTAAAGAACTATGCCATATTATAGGAAGAACAAATTGAAGAGCTATCATTAAATCACCTGGCTTAAAATGTTTTCCAAACAAAGAGATTTCTAAACGTTAGAATTAATTCCTGAAATGTTAAAAGATACTTTTTTATATTCACATGTTTTTAATTTCTAAAACATGTTTACTAAAGTCTTAAGCCATGTATCTTGTAGTCATGAATTAGAGATAGATTGCTCCAAAAAATCATTTGGCTTAAAGCAAAAAGATATTTTTATCAGGTGGAAATAACTCTCTGTGACTTAAAACTATATACATATATATTTTTTCTCTCTAACCCAGGTATGGTGACATGGTACCAAAAACCATAGCAGGGAAGATTTTTGGATCCATCTGCTCGTTGAGTGGGGTCTTGGTCATTGCTCTACCCGTTCCAGTGATTGTATCCAACTTCAGTCGGATCTACCACCAAAATCAACGCGCAGACAAAAGGAGGGCACAAAAGGTGTGTATTCAGTCCTGTGTAACCATGATTTAGCATTGTCCGCTTCTCATAATGAGCTTTAAAAACCTTCACTGGGTGCTCAGTGTTCCAGATTTGGTCGATAGTTGCATCAGTCAGCACAGGCTGGTTATACTACAGCAAAAGGACCTTAATATCTCAGTGGCTTAACACAACAAGCAATATTTCTCAATCATGCTACAAGTCAATTACCGGTCCAGTGATGGAAACTCTATCTTGACAGTGTACTTCTGCAATCACTTATGCAGAAGTAATTTCTGAATCACACACTGACTTTTAAAGCCTCCTACTGGAAGTGGGCCAGGTCACTTCCAACTCTATTGCATTAGCCAAAGCAATTCACATAGCCATGTGTAACTTCAAAGTGGACAGGGAAATTCAATCCCACTGTGCAACTAGAGGTAGACAGGAAGAAATATGTAGCGAACAACACTGACAGTAGCAAAATCAAAGATAGATTCTTGGCAATTTTATTAGAATCAGATTTCTAGATCTGATTCACCCAGTCTCTGTCCATCGGGGTTTAAGCTGGTGCCCGTAGACAAGGGCTAGTAAAGGGCACCAAAATGTGTCTTGGTTATTTTACAAAATTGACACAGGAGGAAGGAGAAATCTGATCACTTGTAGCTAAGTTCTATTCCTGGCCCAACCGTTTACTGTTTCTCTGGACTTCGCACCAGTTAATTAATCCCTCTCAGAGTAAGCAGGGTGCATGCTCATCTGAAAAATGAGGAAAACAATGCCTACCTCACACTAAGGCCGAGGTAGGTATTGTTTATAGATTTATAAACATGTATATGCAAGTGTTTATAAATATATATAAGCTTTTCATAATTTAACAATTTAAACATTTACTAATGACTTACTATGTGCCAGATATTGGTTTAATGTTTTTCAAAAAATAATTCTTAAAATCTTACAAGTATAGGCATTAGTTACGAAAATAGTTTGTGGAATAAGTTGAGAAATTCTGAGGTCACATACCTAATAAATTGGAGAACTGTCATTCAATTCAATGCAAGTCAATCTGGCTCCCACATTCATTAAACACAATGGTAGACTGCCTCTCAGAAGAACTGACTAAATGTTAGTACACTTCCCTTACCCATTCTTTGTCAAAATAGTCACCTTCAGAGCCAGGGCCCTTTTTGCTTAGAAATAATTTTGGAAATTTTTTTTGTAATTTTCTCAGAACTATAGTGCTAGATTTTCAGTATTCTTCACTTTTTTTAATAACCAAAAAACATGTATAACCATGACCAACCTGGGTATTGTGGTATAACCATAAAATATCGTGAGAAATTTTTGTGCACCAGTTCATAATTGGATGTGTAGGTAATTCCAGAACAGGATTTTAAACATGCTTTTGAACAATGTCAGTCTCTTTGGTAAGTATAAAATCTTATAAAGTAACTCTTTAGAAAGTTCAAGTTAATCAGTACAGTCACATAGCATATTGTTCAGAGAACTTGTTCATGTCCATTGTCAGAGATCCTCTTCCTCTACAACAGAATCACTCTTTAAGCTTGAGAGTTTCTTGCTTTACAGAATTCTCCTTCCCTTTTCACAAGTATCTAACCTTTAATTATTGTAGAGAATAATAATAAAAGTTTTTCAGTTACCATGAATATGTAGAACTGATAATCCAGTACACAGGGTGGGTTTTAAAAAAAGGCACCCTCTGGACAATTAGAGTCTCACACAGGGCACAATTTTGGCTACAGGAGATGGAGGGATTTCCACCAGAAGCTATGTACCTCAGCCCTGGCTCTGGCCACACTTTAAAAACTTTCTACTGGGCACAGAGGGATAGTGTTTACAATAACAGAAATATTACAAAATCTTAGCTCCCCAGTACCCATCAATCTCCATTCTGGGAATTCCTTTTTTAATATAATAACTAACTATATTTTTTTCATTGTCATAAAAAGCTACCTATATGAAAACTATAGGAACTACAAATCTGACTTTCAAATAAACCAATTTCAAAATACATGTACTTTTTTCAAACTTGGATATCTGTAACAAGCAAATCAACAAAGAAAAATCTTATAATATTTTAGAAGCCTTTTAGCCTATAGAAATTTAAAATGCAAAAATGTTTAAATGTGATGTAAATAAGTGCACCAAATTGAAAAGCATGTTTTATGAATGCTTTTCGCTATCTTTAAAATATCTTCTATAGTCTCTGTGTCTGCCATAAAGCAATAAATTTTGCATATCATGACTACTAGAAAAATTGGCTATCGAAAGCCAAGTATGATAACCTGGTGTAAATAGCCTGTAATCAGTAAACTAAACATAGTTCTCTAAGAAAGAGCAGTGGGTATGGAACTAAATAAGTTGTGAAGGGATACTTCCTGTTTTCCTTCCCAGGAAAAAAACAAACAGAATAAATAGTCACTAGGCTAAGATATTTTAGATTCTTCTGGAACTAGATGATTTGACAAATACCATAGGTATGCAAAAATAGCCATCTAATTCAGCCAAGCAAGGAGTCCAGTCCATTCAATAAAAATCAGTCAAGTGGAATAATAAGTAATATTATAAAATGGTTTTTTAGACCAGATTTTGTGATGTTTGGTCCCATTGCCAACTCCAAACTCAAGAAAAAAAACATGAAATATACACAACATGCATTTGAGAACATCCCCATCATCACTCAGGAATACTTTCTCTCTTCTAGGTTCTTCCCACTAGCAAGTACTCTTTTTGCTTTCACTACCTGTTCCCACCTTTTAAAGAGAATGCATCCTTTATCCCATTTCTATCAGCCCTTGATACATTCTTAATGAAACACTGACATGTGAGTGAAAACAGGTATCAACTGTAACATTTCTCCCCCACCCTCATTGTTAATTATACTTTAATATATTTATTTATTCGCTCCATTATTCAATAAAAATTTATTGAATAGAATATGTTAGCCAAGGTGAAGTGAAGTTGATACAATGACAGGTGGTAGGGTTGATATTTTGAAGCAAAGAGCTTATCCTGTTTTAAATTCAAATCACACCACTTAATCATCTGCATACTTACAAGGCTAACTGATGAGTAATTGTCATGCATAATAGTAATTATAATTATAATTTAATAATGATAATAGCAACAACAACAATCCTCTCTAGAGTTTCTAGTATGCCCCAGGTTCTTTATACATGTTATTTATAATTTCACAATTAATTTTCAAAGGAAGTGTTATTATTTCTATTTTATAGATGACTTGCTCATGCTCACACACCTATTGATTAATATCTAAAACAAGAATCTCTGACATTATTAGAACTATGAATCTTTAGGGATTTTCCTATAGATAATTCTAAATACAGTGAGAAGCTTGAGCCAATTGATGTACTGACAATGTGCAATGTAAGTGAACTATTTTTACTTTTTACATGAAGATGTTGACTTTCACACACACACAAAATATGCTATCAATATTCAGTATGCCATTTATCACATTCTACTATGGTGGTTCTCAAACTTTAGATTCATTGGAATCATACAAAGCATTTGTTAAAATACAAATTGCTGGACTCTACCCCCAATGAATCTGATTTAGTAGTTTTGGAGGACAGCCTGAAAATTTGCATTTCCAGCAAGTTCCCAGGTGATGCTGATACTGCTGATCTGGGGACCACACTTTGAGACCCATTGCCTACACATTCAGCCATGTCCAAATTAAATAAAAATATATAATTTTCTAGGATATTTAAAAGGCAAGAAATAACTCTTTGCTGGAATATGAAAATGATCACTTTTAAATTTTCCACTATTAATAAAAATCCCTAGTCCTTACCTCAAATCTCTGCAGATAACCTAATTTTATTATTTTTTTCTTATGTCTTGTTTTGTGCAGTTTAATAATCTATTATCAACACATGTAAGAATCTATAGATTATATACTTCTCAATATTCACTCTACATTCAATTCTTATCAAGTTCCTTACCTCTTTTCTTAATTCCCCATTCCATCCCAACACTACTTAATGTAGCCACCTGGTAAACTGATACTCAGGGTTGAAGACTTAATTCAACTATCACCCATTCTATGAAGATTTTTCTGAATACTATGGACATCATTAGTTGCTTCTTCTCTTCTCCTACAATATATGCACACTCTATTATCATGTATTACACCCTATTCTCCCTCTTCTCCATTGTACTGAGTGCACTGCCCAACATGAAATAGGTGTTTAATATTTGTGTAATGACTGAAAGAATGAACAGTGAAGCCTTGTTCGCCTTGACACGTCCTCCATGCCTACAGTCGGGTGGACATTACTAGGACCAATTAAAAATCATATTGGGAAGCACAGTTTTGTCTCTGATAACTGCCTACCTCCTGTTTCAGTTCTACCCTCTTCCACTGTTGCTCTCTCCTTCCACTGACCTTTCCTCTGAGCCTTCCAGTGTCCCTTCTACTGACCTAAATCCCCGCCCAGCCTTCCATCTCCAGGATTAACAAGCCTCAGAGTTGGGAACCTGCCCTTTCTCCCATTGACTTACTTCCTCTTTCTTTTATTATTATTTGGCACTAAGTTGTCTCATTTCTAGGGGAGTGATTTTTCTTAACAAATGGGGAGATTCCAGTAAACTCCTTAAATTAAATTTTTAAAAGCTCATAAAGCTTAATATGCTATCTCCACATGAGGCATGTTACTAAACCTTAATATGTTATCTCCATATGAGGCATTTCACTAAACCTTAAATGAAAGCTACAAGTATAAGTAAAATTTCCCGGATAAAAGGTACAGGAAGTATGTGCTCTCTATTTGAGAAGGAAGTGTCTCAGATTACAAGGGATAAAGCCTTCTCTATCTCACAAGGCTGCCTAGGATACCTTTGTATTTCAAAAGTATTGAAAACACTTTGTGATTTGGTAGGAAGAGGGTCTAATATAATGTCTCTCAATGTACATCATACCTCATTTAGAAGACAGATCCCATGTAAGAAAGCCACTGTCTCAAGGGCCTGGGGCTTGTACATCTTTCTCTGACTGGCATTCCGGCCACTGCTCCAGAGAATGTGTAGTGAAGTCTACATAATGTCATTTGGTGCAATTGAAAAACAACCAACTTGCCAAAAACCCCTTCACACTAGCCTCTGAATGCTCCACAATGAAGGGTTCCATGTCAAATTAGCTTGAGAAAAATTTAATACTATATCCCCCTCTCTACTTCACAATGAACATCCACAATGTGAACTTTTGCGAGAAATCCAACTTCGAAGAAACCTACTTAACCTCTCAGCATTTCCCAAACTTTCTTTATATACATATATTAATTTATTTCAGAGAGGAAGGTGGGGGAGAGAGATAGAAACATCAATGATCACAGGGAATTATTGATTGACTGCCTCCTGCACACCCCCTTCTGGGGATAAAGCCTGAAACCTGGGCATGTGCGCTTAACTGGAATCAAACCTAAGAGCCTTCAGTCTGCAGGTCGACGTTCTATCCACTGAGCCAAACTAGGTAGGGCTCCCACACTTTCTTGATCACAGAACCATTTTGTTTCATTCGGTTGTTACCTATAACATGTACTAGTTTTATGAAACTAACTTTGAGAAACCCCCAAGTTTAAGGAATTAAGAAAAAATAAATTTATGAAAAATTGGAATGCATAGGAAAAATGTACTTATGAGACAATTTTTTTTCCAGCACCATCAATATTTCTCAAGGCAGATTAGGAATTTGAAAATAACTGCAAAGCTATTTTTTATACTGACAACATGAGCCTTATTTTTAATTAAAATTTGGAAGCCTCCTATTTTTTATATAGGCTTAATATTTACTGAAATCTTGCTCTAACTTCCATAATATTTGCTAGTACTTGACCATGCAAAGAAGTTGTATTTCCTACAGGGCTGGGAGGAGTACATTTCCTCTTACTAGTGAACGGTACTCTTTTAACCTTCCAATTACTCAGCCAGAGTTGCCAAGATTGTCATAATGAGTGGAACAGAAGTAAAGTGATTTTCTAAAATATCTTTGTAAAAGAATTTCTCTCAATTACCTACTGGAAACAAAGATATAATCAGAGGTCATAAAGGGGCTAGCATTCAAGAGACATTTGGTGCGGTGCTCTACAAGAACAATTAAACCAATTAACCCCAAATGAAAGATAATTGGTAATTGAAATTGAGATGGGAGGTGTGTGTTTTTTCTAACACAGCACATGACTTAGCAAAATGGTAAGTCTGTCTTTAACATAACTGCTTCTTTTTTCCTAAGCTTTAGAACTACTTCTACTGTAGTGGTTGCCACCGTATGTATACTTTCCATGAGAAAGATGTTTCATTTTCCTTTGCTGGAGACTATTTTTGGTTAATTTCTATGTCTCCTTTATGAAAGATATAATGTGCCCTAATACTGCTGCTAAATGCACATAGAATGGCATAGGTAAGACTAGTGACTTTGATAGAGTAACTATGATATATAATTAGTTACAATCAGTAGTTGCAGAAAGAGAGAGGGAGAGAGGAGAAGAAAGCAACGAAGAAAGGAAGGAACAAAGAAAGGAAGAAACAAAAAAAAAGGAAGAAATGAAGGAAGGAAAGGAGGAAGGGATGGAAGGAGGGATGGAGGGAGGAAGGAAGGGAGGGGAACGGCAAGGAAGAGAAACAAAAAATGGCATTGACAGTTACAGGGGACCAGTGAGACTTAGGGACTGAAATTCCAACAATAACCCCTTTCTGAAAATGAAATGTGTATTTAACTTACTTATTTCTGAATTTCTACCATCAATTCTAAGTCATTTCCAGGTGTGCTTGACACTTGCCATTGTTTTATTGAGTTTGGCCTGAAATCCTGGCTGAGCAGCATGGCCTTAAAGTTAAACATTTCTAACTTCCAACTTCACCGTGTGGTATTGTCTCAGTATTTTAAGTGATGTAAATATTATACCATCAGCAAAGAGAAAAATTTGTCTGTTTTTCCCATCACATATAAGTGTGATCTTTCTGCAAAGTTTTATTTTAACTTGGAATTGGCACACAAGAAGAATAAATTCATGGAGGAAGAGAAAGGGAGTCAAGTTGAAGCCAGATGTTATCTTAATGTTATTTTGAGAGCTTCAGACATCTCAGTGTTACTTCTAAATGCCATGGTGAAGGGCCATCTTGGTACTACAACTTTGGAAGAAGTTTGGGAAACACACACACATACACACACACACACACACACACATTCTGGCCCAGGAATACTTCTGCTTCTAGAAATTTGTATGGCAGATAAGCTCAAATAAATGATGCTTCATTCATACAGTGGTATATTATTCATCCATAAGCAAATGAGGTGGATCTACACATGTAGATATGGAAGGAATTCCAAGTTGTATTAAATGAAAAGAACTGAGTGTAAAATTGTGAAATGTATTCTCCCAACTGAGTAAAATTTACGTTTATACACACATGCATGTACATATACTTGTTGTTGTATACCTAGAAAACCTCTGGCAAGATGCTCTAGAAATATTGTCAATGGTTGACTCTGAAGCATAGGAGTAAGGTATGCTCAGGGTCCAGAGAGACTGACTTGATTTTCCTGCATGTTTGTAGTATTAAAGTTTTATCACATGTATATATTCATTTTCCATTTTTAAAATCTAGATAATTTTTAATTGTTATTAAAAAGAATATTCCAGGGCTAGAAATCAAAGGTGATTTTTTTTGGGTGGGGGTGTAGAAAGGAGAAAAAGGGATTCTTTATAGGATAATTTTACAAAAATGTTTTTAGCCATGATATCCCAGTTGCTTCCTTACACACACATACTAGATATACATCATATAAGTAGAATGGTCACCAGAAGATTGCTCTCCAGAAAGTGAAAATCAGACTCATTCCATGACAGCTGGAGCAGGTATACAACAGCAGTTCTAAAGGAGAATGGAATCCTGGGAATCTGGCTACACAGTCAGTTTGCTCAATAATATCACTTTGGTGATCTCTCTGTCAATGTGAGCAATTCAACTGACCACCCAAAACCCTCTACATTGAAGAACATTCTCTATACATAAATGCTTTTAAAATTAAAAATAATAATGTTAGTCTCTCCAGCAAGGAGCACTATGTTTATTTCAACAGATTTAAAGGTGAAACAGAAATTAGGTGAGCATGTTTTTGTGTGGACCTGTGACACAAAAATTTAGTGGAAACATTTAGGGATTTTTCTGAGAAGCCGCCATTGTTCAGCATGGGTTCTATACTGGCCAATTTAGCAAACTGATTGCAAAAAAAAAAGTTTATATTTGAAGGCACAGATGTTAACTAAATTTTGTTTTGTTTTTAAGGGATGGAGGGAGGAAGAAAGGAAAAAAGGCAATTGGTGTCTGAAACTTAATTACTAATTTTTAAAAGGACATTAATTTAAATAAAAAAGAGTTGGCAGCTGGTTTGCTGGGTCTTTATTTCATTAAGTTACTCAGATTGGGATAAGTGAAGTGGGATAAGTGAAACTAGAAGTAATACAGCTAGCTATTTTTTCTCTTAACACTATTGACAGAAACAATAATGAAATAACTTGATCTTACTGTAAAGACTTAATTACAATCTTTAAAATGCATAACCCAGCTCCAAAGTAGTTAATTGATCTTGCCCATATGTTAACTAAAATAAAGTGCTCATATTGTTACCAGACGGCTTCTGCCCTGGGTGCTGGCCCTGGACCTTTCATAGGCCAAGGACCTTTCACAGGCCAAGCAACCTACAGGCTCTTGACTCATTTGGGGAAAATTTCAAGACATGAGTCCAGGTGAAAGTAACAGTAAATTTATTAACATTTGGGACAGGGAGGCAAAGGAAGGACCCCTGGAGATAGGATTGGGGGTAAGATCAGGATGAGCTTCCACAGCCCATTGTTCCCCTGGTACCTTTGTTGGTACCCTTAGCGCTTAGGATAGAAGGAACAAATACACGCCTGAGGAAAGGGGGCACGGATGCGCTCAAAGAAGCATGTGCGGGGATCCTTTGTCCTGAGTTTTACCTATTTTCTATAGACCAGAATTTTAGAGGAGGTCCCAGGGGAGGATCGCAACAGAATATTCATTGGATTTCCGGGCGTGTTGTTTAATATGCTGATGTATTAAAATGAGTGTATAATGGAGTCTGGGGTCATTTTCTAGTTAGTTTTGCCTGTATCTTGGATTAGTCTGGCTCTAATTGGTTTTGTTATCTACTTCCCTGACTGTAGTGATTTAAACCATCTGCTCCTAGGCATCTTTAGTTAGGGAGATAGGGTCTTGTGATTTATTGCTGAGCCATTCCGGCAGTTTGTCCAGCCATTTGTGTGTTTGTTCAGCCATTTGTCTCAGTTTCCTCATTCCACTTTCCAGGGAATGTTCCTAGTGTCTTAACCTGCCTCAATCTGATGAAAATTTAATTGTCTGTAATTACAAAAAGCTGGCATGTTTTTAAACATACGTATGCTGACATTGGAATTATACAAGAGTATATGCACTGTTTTAAGAAAACAATTCGTTGAGTATTAACAAGACATTCATTTTCCTTCTCCTATAGAAAGCCAGACTCGCCAGGATACGGGCAGCCAAAAGCGGAAGTGCAAATGCTTACATGCAAAGTAAACGGAATGGTTTGCTCAGTAATCAACTGCAGGTACCGTCAAGCACCTCACTGTTTTCAATGCTCAATTTGTTGATGTAATATTGATTGATTTCTACTTAAGCATATAATTTTATTGTGGGTAATAATGAAAATGGCGACTGAAACAACAGAAGTGTCATTGGTTCAGTCCATGCCAGAGCTTACTCTAGCTTAGCCTTTGTCCCTGTCCAGCTAGTAGCCTCTATTCCCTGCTGTGCTGGGCTTGCAGTTGGAGCCCAGCTTGGAGCCCTCACTTGGAGCTCAGCTTGGAGCCCTCAATTGGAGCTCGCCTGGCTGATGGGCCTCAGGCAGCTGCTAGCCCTCATGGCTGCTATGGAGAGAGAACACGTGAGCACATGAACCCACAAATGTGTGTTACAGGGCGGGGGTTGAGAGAAAGCTTGCCTTTGTTAAGCTTGGATTATTTTATCTCAGGCTTGGGAAGGACCAAGCGCTCTTTCAAAATAACCAATTTCCCAATTCTTTGCCGGCTTGTTTTGGGTCCTCCTCCTAACCAATCCATTTCTTAAATCTTCTGGGGTTCTGTGTTCCTCACCCAATTGGATTATTTTCTCAGGCGAGGCTCTGCCCCTTATGGCCACCATCTTAGTTTTTACTGTGCATGCCTCATAGTGGAATGACCTCCCCCCGCATCATCTTGGCTTCTACTGAGCATGTGCCCAGCAGAGGAACTTCCCCTTTGTTGTTCAGTTACTTCCCCCCACCGCCTTAGTCTGGACAAGTGGACTGGTTGTACACTGGAGAGATTGGAAAGCTAGTCCTTCCACCCGACACAGGAAAGGGAGAGGTGTTGATCCCATTGGTGGGGTAATGCCGTGATCCCTTGGCGAGCCTGAAGCTGTCACTTCCAGACTTCATTAGGCTTATTGTCCAATTCAGCTACCTGGTTTATTAGGCATGATGTCTGATTCAGCTCCCTAGTTGATTAGGCTTCTTAATGTCTGATTCCCTTTGCTCCCTCCTTTATTAATATCTAGCTATTTATGCTCGCAATCTGAGAGCGTGGCACACCCAGAGAGCCCAGATGCCCTCAGCCCTTTCACATGCCTTGCCTTATGCATCTCTTCCACTTGGCTCTCCCTGAGTCACATTATATGCTTTTATAATAAACCGTTACTCTAGTCAGTAAAATGTTTCTTTGAGTTTTGTGAGCCGCTCTAGCAAACTAATCAAACTCAAGGAGCAGATTGTGGGAATCCCTGATTTATAGTCAGTTGGTCAGAAGCACAGGTAAACTGTCCCACTTGCAATTGGCATCTAAAGTTCAAGGAGAGGTCACTAGAACCTCTAACCCAGTAGTTCTCAACCTTGGCTGCACATTAGAATCACTTGGGAATCTTTTTAAAATCCAGATTTCTGGGCTTCATCCTCCGGAAATTCTGTTTCTTTGTTACTAATGTTGTGGCCCCACCCCATAACAAAGAAACAGAATTTCCAGAGGATGAGGCCCAGAAATCTGGATTTTAAAAAGATTCCCAGGTGATTCTAATGTGCAGCCAAGGTTGAGAACCACTGCTCTAACCTATAGCCAGATGGTCAGAAGCCCAGGTGATCATTTAAGTTTGCAATTGGAATCTAAGGTGGGGAGAAGAGAGTGAAGGAAAGTCTTGCAAGACTGAGCCCTCAACCTGTATAATATGATGCTGTTTCCAGGTAGACAGTGTCCAAATTGAGCTGAATTGTAGGACACTACTAGTACACAGACCATTTCACTGCTTGATGGTGTTGGGGATAACCCCACCACTTCAGATTGGGTTTAGAACCCTTTTTACCTGGGAAAGGTAAATGACTCAAATACCTAATTATTTTTTATTTAAAAATTACTTATGTTCCTTAAAGTTTATATGAGTGGGAGTAGAGGATAGCATGATGTCTCCTTTTATTTTTTTTAATTTTAATGGGAGGGCACACCATCTAGTGTTATAAATATCACACAGTATGAAATACAATTTGAGAAACCACTTTTAGCTCAAAACTTTCCTTTAATATTTAGGATTCCAATAATTGTTACTTACAAAATAGCTTTTATTTAGGTGAGCATAATGCCATTTCCAGGATTATCTAAGTATTGGATTAAATTTTATTACCCAAAAATAATGGCTGTCAGGTTTTCAAAGTCAAGTGGTAGTTGAAAGAGTAGAAGAGATTTAAATTTTCTGTTCAGGGAGGCAAGTCTTAAAAAACCAGACTGCTAATTTGAAAAGAAAAAATGTAAATAATGATTCTCAGACTTAAAAGCAACTGCCAGGCTGTGCCTTTCTGTCTAAAATAAATAATAATAAAATGCTGACATTTAATCTCAAGAAATAGGACAGCTCTCTCTCTGTGGCAATGTGCAGTTGAGGTTCTCATTGTTTGCAAATATGATAGAAAAGACTCTGTCTTCTCTGTGTTCACAGTCCTCTGAGGATGAGCAGGCCTTTGTCAGCAAATACAGCTCCAGCTTTGAAAGCCAGCACCACCACCTGCTTCACTGCTTGGAAAAGACCACGGTAAGGAACTGGCATCGCTGCCTGCCCCGGTCCTCACAGTCTCCCATTTGCTTTTGTGAATACTCAGTCCTCCTAGGAAGGACTTCACTGCCCGCATCACTGGAAAATAGAGTAAAGGACAAAAACAAAAGAAAACAAAACACGAAAGTACTTCAAAAGACTTTTGTGACATTTCCATTTGGAAAGTGTTTGAGAGACTTATTAAAATGTTGTTATCCTTAGTGGCTATCCTCACTGTAGTCTAAAATACTAGTGTAATGTGGATGAAAAGTTGTTTCCAATAGCCAACTGCAAGTCCTATAAAATATCATTTACCCTGCCCGGCCGGGGTTGCTCAGTGGTTGAACGTTGTCTCATGCACCAGGAGGTCACCGGTTCGATTCCTGGTCAGGGTACATGGCCAGGTTTTGAGTTCGATCCCCAGTAGGGGGCATGCAGGAGACAGCCAATCGATGATGTTTCCCTCTCATCAATGTTTCTACCTCTTTATCCGTCTCCCTTCCTCTCTCTGAAATCAATAAAAACATATTTTTAAATGTAATTTACCCTGATTTTGAAAATGCTAATTAAATAGAAAATATTAATGAAGTTCAAGTGTTCCTGACATCTGGATGAAGGGAATATCAATAGCAATAATACAAAATAAAGAATGACTAAATATAAGCATTTCTTCTTTTTTAATATATTTTTATTGATTGCAGAAAAGAAGGGAGAGGGAGAGAGAGATAGAAACATCAATGATGAGAGAGAACCATTGATCGGCTGCCTATGTCCCCTACTGGGGTCTAGCCTGCAAACCCGGGCATGTGCCCTTCACTGGAATCAACCTTGGGACCCTTCAGTCCCCAGGCCGAAGGCTCTATCCACTGAGCCAAACTGGCTAGCGCAATATAAACATCTCTGTAATTCACAGTTATAATGAACACATATAGTAAAATTATTTGTTCTCATAAGAAAAAAAAATGGTGTTTAATCAGTGTCATGACCCTTTGGCTGAGAATTGAGTGTGCATTTCTCCATTTATAGGCTCCCAATTAGACTTCCTCTTTAGTAAAGTCATCCTTTCCCTAGCTGGCTTGTCAAAAGATGTCATAGTGTGTGACCACAGAGCAGAATGAAACTTTCACCGTATTTGGATCAAGTCTTCTCACTCACTCACCAGAGATGCATATTTGTGTTCTCAATTCCAATAGATTGCCCATACATGTCTTCATTTACTTTCATTTACCTATATAGTCATTCAACAAATATGCATGACTTGCCTACCATGTGCCAGACAGTGAGCCAAGACCTAAGATATGCCGGGAAGTCAGGTGTGGTCTCTACCCCCATCAATCTCTATGGGGGGACAAACCACGGATATTCCTAGGGAAGGGCAGTGAGCAGCAAAGCAACAATGGGCCACGGTGTAGGGAGCAAAGAGGATGGAACCAGAGGGTACAGAATCAGACAAGGCTTTCTGAAGGAACCTGAGTTCAGACCCACAGGATGACTGAGAGCCAGGCAAAGAAGGACAGGGGCTAAAAGGTGATGTAACCCGAGGAAGGCTAGAACTTGCTGCAAGAGGACTTTGAGGGTGGTAGGAAGGAGAGAGTATAGCATAGCACACGCGGAGACAGAAAGGCAGTGACTAGCTCATGCTAGGTTTTCGAGGCACGTGCAAAATTTTTATCTTCATCTCAAATGGAAAATTATTTGAGGGTTTAAACAGGGAAATTACAGGATTGTGGCTGCGTTTTAAATAAAAATATGGACAGGTCTATAATTTCCTAATGTAAACCTTTGACATTTAAATAGTAACATTAATAATAGAATGTTTTTATGACTATTTCCTTTTCTTTCATTTTAATTTTTTTTTTACCACTTAGGGCTTTTTAAATCAAACATTATTTAATACCAACCGATATAGTTTAAATTGAGCTGCCTATAAAATATATGGTAACCAGCGGCAGAATGACTTCTTCACTTCCAGTCCCTGAGGAGACAAATTAGAACCTCATGCATTGTAACTTATACTATGTGTGTGAGATGTGCATTGCCAGAGAAGAAAACAGTTTAAATCGTTACTGAACTGTATTTTTTTTTAGAAATTTAATAGTTAACATAAAACTCTATCTTCTCTAAACATATTTTTCTCCCGACTTTCAACTGTAGAATGTTAAATTTCGTTTACTTCAAAATGCTTGTCTCAGCAAAGAAATGACAAAATGAGTAACTAAAACAATCTATTTCCTATTAGCCAGTGAATTGCTTCAATTGTTTTGCTAATGGTTAGGCTGAGAGATAGTTAAGTGGAATTCTGCATGTGCAAAGTCTCTCATTATAAGACTATTCCCACCAACACAAAGAAAAAAATAGTAATTGAAGTCATTTTTTAGTAGCTTAGACCAAAAATATTTTCCTTTATACTACTGAGGTAAAAGTCTTCCATAAGCATTTTAGGAGACCATGCTTTGCGTTAAATATTTTTAAGCAAATTTTACACTGTTTTTCTAAGATGGAGAATATGAAATTATTTCCATCACTATTTGCTTCTTGGCTAGAACCCTAAACACAGGTAGAGATTCTGAACACATCTAGTGATGTATCACAAAGAAAAGAAAGGAGACCTGGAAAGTTCAGTGCTAACCCCTTCTGAGTCAGACATAAAGTGACACATTTTGCAGATAAATATATAGTATTTGTTTAATAAGTCATATATTTCTCTTCACTGAGAATTTTATAGGAACATCTAAAGAAATGGGAAGTGTCCTAGGTACCTTATTTTCTAATTTAAAAGTATTTTCAATTCCATGTGAAACTATTTGCTTTTATATAACAGACAATCTAACTTGGATTAAAATAGTCTCTTTCTCATAATTTCAATCTGTTGAAAAATAAGTCAATGTGAATTTACACATTTTTGTGGGTGTTATCTATATTCATTTTCAAGTTTTTTTCTTTAGTTTATAATCTCCAGTTTAAATAAATAAATGATATTTCAAGATAAAGTTAGCTTACAAATAGATACTAAATCAGCCTTCATGTGTCAAGGTGTAACTAGAGAGATGTTATTTTCCCACAAATGCCAGTATTGGGTAGCTTTGATGTTCTAATCTTTATAAAAATAGTATTAGTTGTCGATTGGATAGTCTACATGTATGTGGACATTTTTTTAGTTTTAAAAATAAAACTATTCATTTGCTTTTTTAAAGTTAAAGTGTGTTTCTCCCTTTCTTCACATCTTTTTCCACCTATGGAACAGAATCACGAGTTTGTGGATGAACAAGTGTTTGAAGAAAGCTGCATGGAGGTTTCGACTGTTAATCGTCCTTCAAGTCATAGTCCCTCTCTCTCTTCACAACAAGGAGTCACCGGCACTTGCTGTTCACGACGACACAAAAAAACTTTCCGCATCCCAAGTGCCAATGTATCAGGAAGCCATCGAGGCAGTGTGCAAGAACTCAGTACGATTCAGATCAGATGTGTGGAGAGAAACCCGCTATCTAACAGGTAGATTAATCTGTGTGGACACACACCTGTGCTGGTCCCCGGAGCATATCTCCACCTGCAGTTGTGTTGCTACACGTGTGGCATCTAAATTCTAGTTCTTAGAGTTTAGAATGAGACAAGACTTAGACTGTAACAAGCAGAAAAATGGATCTACTGTAATATTCCTTAAGTCATAGAGTAGTTGTAGCGATATTAAAAGAGCAGAGAAAAGATAAGGCAGGCAGGCAACCACAAATGTATTTCTACCTCTTCAATTCCACAGCTGTTTCCTATTTGAATAGACACTCCTATACCCAGGAGCCCCATAGGTAAAAACAAATCACCTGAAATGATAGTTAACACTGCTGAAAGAGACCAATGAAACTGACATTGATGTGATTAAAAAGTATTCAACAGCACCTTTAAATAAATCAACAGTCACTGTGACAGTGAAAACTGGAAACTATATCTACACAAATATTTTGAACCAGTATGCAATTTTGATCAAAAAAAGTATTTTGGCCACAATTAACACAAAAATCAATCCAATTCAAAGCAAGATAAGTGAAATGCTAAAATGGTATGTCTAGTGAGTTTATGGACCATTGAAGTGAAATTTTTCCAGTGGTGTTTTCCTTTTGTTTCTCTTTATTTCCTTGTTTTTACAAGTCATTAAAAAATCAGTTTGGCCCAAATAATTTTACTTTGTTCTTCAAATTAAGTAGCTTTTCTTTTTAGATTAACAACCATTAATTCGGTGCCATTTCTTTGGTGGTATCCAATAATCTTTGTGGAAAACCTGGATGAGATTCTGAATTTGGGTTATGTTGATTTACATCAATCAGATATCTCTGGAATCAGAATATTAAATGTTGGAGCAATGAAAGATTTCTGTCTCGAAAATATTCTACCACTCCAATATAGAAAATGGAGAAGTGTTTAGAAAGAATTTTTTAGGCCATAAACATTTAAATTAAGTTTTCCATGAAAATAAAATAGTTTGAAGTTCTCATGTATGCCCTCCTTTCTCCTTTCCCCTGCCCCCTCACCACTTAGAGTATAAAACTCATGCAAGAATACCACTTGGGAAAGCCTTTAAGTATTAGTAATGGCTAACTTTTGGGGGTTCTTAACATTTGAGTGTTACTAAGTTGAAAACTTTAAGGGCACCCTATATCCCAAAGGGACAAGATAGTGAAATGATGCTGTGGTCAAATAATTGAGGCATATCTACAGTATATCTCCCTTTCATAACGGTATCTCAAAACTCTCAGAGATTCTGTCTTAAAGAAAACTATTTTATTTTGCTCAACTCAGTGTTTCAAAAACATACCTTCTTATATTTTTATATAACATTTGTTTGAAAAACACTGATGGAATCGAATTTAGCTGGTTTTTACACATTCATTTATGATTAGGGACCTGACTAATGTTCACTTTAACATACAGAGTGGGGTAAACATAGGTTTGTAGTTGTATGTGAAACAGAGTTTCATTATTATTTACATTATTATTTATTAACGAGAGGCCTGGTGCACGAATTCATGCATAGGTGGGATCTCTTGGCCTGGGGAGTCATCAGGGCCGATTGGGGCCGTCTTGCCCAGTCCCAATGGGGCCATCAAGGCCAGTGGGCCAGGAGGAGGGACCATGGGAGGTTGGATGTGGGAGTGCACTGACCAACAGGGGGCAGATCCTACATTGAGAGTCTGCCCCCTGATGCTCAGTGCACGTCATAGCAACCAGTTGACCATTCATTTGACCAGTCCTAATGGTCGCTTAGGCTTTTATATATACAGAGATAGATTATTGTATTATTTTTCATGGGAAAAACTGTAGACCTACTTTTGCCCACCTTGTATGTTAAGGTTTGGTGCTTCCTTTCTTAAAATTGTGGTGATTATTCTCAGACATTTAAAAAGTCACTTATAAACCTGACATCATGTACACCTGTATTGTAGGCAAGAACATTTTTAAGTAAACAACTTACCTTCTTAAATCTATTTTCTTCCCTCATCAGCCGATCCAGTTTAAATGCCAAAATGGAAGAATGTGTTAAACTAAACTGTGAACAACCTTATGTGACTACAGCAATAATAAGCATCCCAACACCTCCAGTAACCACTCCCGAAGGAGATGACAGGCCAGAGTCTCCCGAATACTCAGGCGGAAACATTGTCAGAGTGTCTGCTTTGTAGACAGTTGGAATCAGGTCTAGCGGAATTTGAGCCCTGGCTGTGGAGAGAATTCCAATGTGGAAGAAAGAAGACAAGATACACGTTTTGCAGCTGAAAATGGCGAAGCAAGAAGGTTGGTAGTGACACAAAAAACAAAGCTTCCAAACCAGAGGATGGAAGTAAAACCACCAAATGGCATTTCTTTAGAGTTTGACCTGTTGTACCGAGGAATAGTCTGTGGCCCTTCGGCTTTGTGAATGAGCACAATGAAATGCCGCCTATTGATGCTTCTTATGACCAGAACTCTTTTATAATAAAATAAATCTTTGAACCTAATGTTTCAGTTGAATGCAAAACAAAAAAAAATATGGAAAACATTTTGATAAAAATATTTCCTGTTAAAACCATGAACATTGGCTATGATGAAGATTATTGCATATTGAAAAATTCACGCAACACATTTGTATTAACTGAAGGAAACCATCATAATGCATGCTAGGATTCTTTGGAGTAGTGATCTCAGTTTCCTTATGTTGTCTTCAGAATAGGCATGATAAACTATAAATGTAGAGAGGGGGAATTTCTGTGCACTTACTACAAGCTGGATGTTCATGTCCCATGGTGGGCTGTGCAAATAAACTATTGGAACTGCAGCATTTCTCACGGGGATGCTCAATAATAAATCTAAAGTGTGCAGATAGTGCGGTATTATCATTTTACCTTGCACCTAGATACTGTTACAACTGCAATAATTCATAATACACCTGTTGTATCAGGAATCGGGATTTTTGTTGTGAGACTTTCCAGATTTTCATAAATTCTGTAAGAGCCACATTCATAGGAAAACGTCTAGTGTAGCCAGGTTTAGATAACTTTTTAATCCCAAACTCTTGTGTCATACATGTTTCTCAGTAATATTCTTTGATCCACCTTGTCCCCATGACAGTGCATTTCTTGTTCCTGTGCTAACATTTCTTTTGGGTTTATTGTCATCAACTGGACTAACGTTTTGTAGTTCAATGGACTTTCCTACTTTTGTATTCCCCAACAAATCATCTTGTAAGTCGATTATCATCAACAATCCTCTCATCAAAAATTAGAAAAAAGGAGTTCACATCCATGAATTATTTCTAACCTCTTTGCTGTCATGGAAAAGCCCAATTATTGGATATACCACTGTATGTTTTATACAAAGAGTTGGCTGGGACTATTATCACCGGATCAATGATCCCAGAATCTCACTTGATGTATTATTTATTTTGCTTTAGATCTAGAATAAATTTTGAGAATAACTCATGTGAATTGAAATGCAGAGATAAACTGAAGTGCTTTATGTAACAATTTTTGATGAAAAGCACGCTTTCTATGCCCCTGGAAAGGCAAGTTTATCTCAGAAAGGTTCCTGTATAAGGCAAGGAGTCATTTTCTCCACTAAATCAGGAGGACAGGAGTTTGATGATGCAAAGTTGATCTCTATGTACATTTCAGTAAAAAGTCTCGATACTTTTTCACCTTTAAAATATATCAGCAGACATGTCTGCACGTGACAGTGTAAAAATGTTTTATGTCAAATGAAAAGTTTTGTTCATTTCAAGCCACCAGTGTTAAGGAATAAAGCTTAGCTTCCATACATGGAAAGAATTAATAATTATCCCTCTACTGTAGAGATTTTTAAATGCTTATCATAATTTATCATAAAAAGGAATTAATCCAACTATTTTGAGTGAAGCCAGAGGTTCTTGCTTCCCATTTCTAGAACTGCTTCTAGAACAATGCTGTGCACACGGTAGATTTTAATAAGCATTTGCTGAGTGAAATGAAGACAAACTTCTCTCTCTCGGGAAGAATTGCCTTTATTTCTAGAATGTCTTTTAAAAAGCTACTAACCTTCCTGGAGTGTGAATACTAACGATTATATTAACACCTGCCTCATGCCACTTTATGCTTCTAGAGCAAATATATAGTGAAACTTCTTTGATGGCATTTGTTGAAAATCTTTTTAAAAAGTAGACTAAAGAAACCACCATCGAGAATACATAGGTCTTTTGATTCCCAATGAGAAGTTCTATTTTCGTGTTCTGAACGTTACATTTAAAAAATGCAGTTCAGTTTGATTATTTCAGTTAACAATTCTGCCTCCTTTTCAACTTATCATTTATCCCAAACTATTACTTTGTTTAGACTTTTTGGAAAAGAAAAAGAAACTTTTTGGTGTTTCAGGTGATTTAAAAATATACTGTGCCGGTGGTGAATGACTCTTGATGACTGTGTTAAGTGCATCTGTATTGTAAGTGAAATGTAATTATTTCTGTGTGCCATATGGAGTAACCAAGGCCATTGTTTTGGGCAATTTGGTTTGAAACTCATATGTCTTTATTTTAAAGGGTAGCCTAATATCTGCATTATGCTGGAAAAGTAGACCTTTGGAGAATACTTAAATAAAACATGTGCATGCTTGAACAGGATCACACGGCTGTCTGTTGCCCTTTTTTCTTGGACTTCCTTCTTTTCCAAAATCTAGAACATGCCACACTCCTAGTGCGTATCTAGGAGAACTCTGTAACATGTGCTCCAAGAACCCATCAATTGTAGCAGTTAAATCTAGTCTAAACCGGCGGAGAGAGTAGTTCTGCCAACAATGGGAAATTAAGCAGAGCCTTGTTAACATCATTAAAAGATAAAAGAGTGTCACTGCTTTCAGTGGTCGTTTTTGGAAATATCTTGGCAACTCCAACTCCATAGCTACTAATTATGATCATTTAATTTTGTTGCAAGATTTTATTGGTCATTAAAAAAAGATGTAGTAGAGTTAAAACCAGTGGTGTGTCATACATGATACTATCAAATAGAGTGCTCTCTGCAGGCTGTGACCCACAGTTTATTAGCCTGTACCCCGCATGCCACCGGCTTCCTGCACAGTGTGGGCCAGAGAGAACGCTGCTGCCTGAACCTTATAAACTCCTTGACCTCCATTACTTGAGTTAAGCAAAGAGCCATTCTGAGGTAATAACTTTGGCCAGAATTCAATAGATTCTTAGTCAAAGACTCTTTTCTATCTAAGAAAACAGACGGTGATTTATTTGTTTATTTATATGTGTCGTGTCTCTCTCTGAGTATACACTGAGTGGCCAGATTATTATGACTACCTGATGTTTGTAGGTAAATTAGCTATAATTTCACACTGAAGTTGCTAGAGGGCCAGATCATTATAAATGTCTGAATAGCACAACATACCTAAGTATCATTGCTGATCAGGTTCATCCTATCATGTTGATGGTGTATCCCAATGGAGATGGCTTCTTCCAACAAGACAATGCGCCATGCCACGGTGCTCGTATTGTGCAGGAGTGGTTTCAAGAACATGAGGGAGACTTTACCTTGTTTAGGTGGCCCCCACAATCACCAGATCTCAATCCAATGGAGCATTTGTGGGACAAAGTTAAAAGAGCCATCAGGCAGCTGGTTCCACAACCATCAAATCTCACAGAACTGGACACTGCTATTCATCAGGCAAAGTGTCAGATTCCTCTCATCACCTTACAACATCTTGTGGAGTCAATGCCAAGAAGAATCGCCGCAGTATTGAAGGCAAAAGGTGGCCCATCGAAGTACTGATGGGGTGGTCATAATAATCTGGCCACTCAGTGTATATATAATATATATACACATACTCATAGGTTTTATTCATTTTTTAAAATATGCACATACCGATGGTTGATGGCTTCTGTCCAGTAAGGGACAAAAAGTTAAAAAAAAATGTTGAGAGATAATTAGAAGAACAAAACAGAATAAATCATTTAGTAAAGACAGTGATTTTAACTAGTGGTCCTTCTGTTGGATAGTCTCTATTTTTTTCTTTATTAATTCCTTTTCTTTATGGGCTTTGATTTATTGAGATGTCAATCTTGCATTAAAAAGGTTCAATATACCTCCCTATTCCTTCAACTTAGCTACAATGTGGACTTGGAGAGAGCCTCCAGAGAGTTATATCAATGTCTGCCAGCAACGGTGCTCAAAAGAATAAAAAATGGTTCTTTATATCAAATAAATGACTCCTCAGAGATTCATTAGGAAAGGCGTCTTGTCTTCCTAGGGTGTTAACAGCTGTTTATTTTATTAACTCACAGATACGAAAAAGGGTTATTGCTCTGTACTGTTTAAACTTCACCAGAATTTTCAACACAATTGTGCAGACACACTCTATTTTTTTAAAATATATTTTATTGATTTTTCAGAGAGAGGAAGGGAGAGAGATAGAGAGTTAGAAACATCGATGAGAGAGAAACATCGATCAGCTTCCTCCTGCACATCTCCTACTGGGGAGGTGCCCGCAACCCAGGTACATGCCCTTGACCGGAATTGAACCTGGGACCTTTCAGTCCGCAGACCGATGCTCTATCCATTGAGCCAAACCGGTTTCGGCTATTTTTTTTTTTAAGTTTAAATTTCTATCTACCTGGGCTGGTTGTAATTAGGGTGGCAAAACATTCTCTAATTTTTTACTTGTAAAAAAATAATTACTTTTTTGGAATTATTATTTTTGAATAGCACATTTGCTTAAGATAATCATATAATACTAGAGGCCCAATGCACGAAATTCCTGCAAGAGTAGGCCTTCCTTCCCCCGGCGGCCGGAACCAGCTTCCCTCTGGCACCCGCGACCCGGGTTTCCCTCGCAGCCCCGACTTCAAAGGAAGGATGTCCGGTCTAATTAGCATATTACACTTTTAATATTACAGATATTTATTGCAAAAAGTTTTTAGTGTAAACAATATTAGATCTATCTTGTACCTTCTAAACCTTTGCTCTCTACTGCCTGCCTTACTTTTTCCTTTCTTTCTCTAGAGCACTAGTCATTCTTTTATTAGCTTATTCTCCCTCTTTCCCTAATCATAGTTTTTTTTCCTCTGGTTATTCTATGGAAACCCAATACAGTGGGGCCTTGACTTACGAGTGTCCCGACTGACGAGTTTTTTGAGATACCAGCTCTCTTGGCCGATTTTTTGCATTGAGTTGATAGAGTAATTTGAGTTAACGAGCTCCTTAAC